CATGTCTGTGGAGACAAGATCCAGGAAAATTTTTGTCTTATTATTGCTGTGAAATAGAGAGGCCTAGGAAAAAGTATGCTTTGTTTTGCTGTAAAGATATTTTTCCTAATAGTTTGTTTTTGTTCTCTGTTGAATACCATTGTTTCTTTTCCCCTATCTGTTCTCAAATGGTAAATTACACCTTCTCATTTATACTGTTATCTTGCTGATACATAAAACTAGGATCATGTGTCTCCTGAGTTTCTTCTGGTTTTTCAAATTTCGTTTTCTTGGTTGCCCCTGTGTGGTTCTAAAACCAAATTAATTTATTCTGTTTCCTGGTTTCATTTCTTTCTAATGCTACTCTTGTGTTTTTTTTTTTTAATGTCTAGATCTATATATCAAAATCTAGTCACAGCTCGAATAGCTAAGTTAGATATCTACCTATTGCTGAGAAGCTTGTTTATATATATATACTTACAAAGGGTAAAGAATGAAGAACTCAAGTTGGTTAAAGCAGGGGAAGCAAGTGCTAAGCATTGATAGCTATTCAGTAATTTAAACAGAGGCGGCATTGTGTATTGATATTTAAGTGTGCTTTTCACTTCTGCAAGGTGTGTGTGTATGTGTGTGCATGTTTTACCCTCCAAAGCTTACCTTTGATCTTATAAAGACAAAGTCAGAAATACTGATGGGCAGTTCTTTACAAAGTCAATTGTAAACACATGGAATTTAGTACCTTAAGTGCTAACAAAGGCTGTAACAAAGAAGGTACAGAAAAAATTGGCAAATTCAGAGAGGATAGATCCACAGTAGGTTATTAAGGAAAACTGAGATGGTCCTTTACCCACTAAGTTTCTAGCAAGCAAGTTCACATTCTAGGCATGCAAAGGCTCTTGAGAGGTGAGGGGATGGGGAAGGCACTCTAACTCCTGCCCAAGCATACAACTCATATCTCATTATGCATATATAAGATTGTGTTGCAATTAGAATGTGTCGCAATTGATCACATACCTTACATTCATGTTTTCCCAAGTAGTATCCAAACTCCTTGAGGCAAGTGGCCTATTTGGTGTTGCATCTTCAGTACCTAACTCTGTATATGACACCCAGGAGGCAGTCACCCGAATTGCACAATTGTTGAATGAATACTGTCTATTCATCTTCCAATAATACTCATCTTCCTGATCCTAGTAGTTTTCTCCTGTAACCCATCTCTCCTCCAACTAATCATACTCAAAAGCTGAATCTCATCCTGGACTTGTAGTTACTCCTCTTCCTCTACGTTATTTCCTTTGACTAAGACAATGACAGTATTATCCCCACTCATTGTTCACACGTCTATAGGTGAAATGTATTAATATATAGCTTTGATCATGCTCTTCCACTGCTTAAAAGCCTTCAATATATCGCCATTGCCTACAGATTTATATGCTGACACCTTAGCATCTTATTTCAGCACTCTAGGATATGGCACCAGTCTACTTTTCCAGAATTATCTCCAAACTTTTATACTTTATAGAACTACTAGCTGTACTATTTGCTATTCTCCAAAAATACTTATTTTTTTTACCTCTATTTTTCTTTTTTTTATATATATATTTTATTGATTTTATACTTAGAGGAAGGGAGAGAGATAGAGAGTTAGAAACATCGATGAGAGAGAGTCATCAATCAGCTGCCTCTTGCACACCCCTACTGGGGATATGCCTGCAACCAAGGTACATGCCCTTGACCAGAATCGAACCCGGGACCCTTCAGTCCCCAAGCCGATGCTCTATCCATTGAACCAAACCGGTCCCGGCTACCTCTATTTTTCTTAAGGACATTTCATTCCACTGAAATGCTTACTATCCCCACCTCCAACTCCTACTGCTGATTTCCATTCTCATCCTTCCAAGTCTTTTTCTCTGTGTGTGTGTGTGTGTGTGTTTTTTCTGACATATCCATTAAGTCATGATATTTCCCTTCTCTGAACTCACATAATATGCTATTGGCACCTTTTGTATAGTACCTATTATCACCTGCCTCACTCTGCAGTATTTCTGTACTTTTTTATCTTTCCTACAAGACACAGGGTCTTATAACTAAGACTATCTTATTTATGCATCTTCCATCATTTGTAATATAGCACCTTTCACAGAACATATGTACGATAAATTAATGAATGTATAGGGGCTCATTTCCTAATCTCAGAGTTTGACATCAGCAAAGCTGTAATCTGGGTTGATATTCAGCCAGTATGAATTAATACAACCATGGTGGCCACTTATTGCTGTGTATATTCTGACAGGTTGGGGACTGTGCGACATCAGTTATTAATATTTTAAATATCACTCCTGATATGATAGTCTCCCTTAAAATGTCTTTTGGTGCCCTTAATAGAAACAGCGCACTCAGCTGAAATGGCTGGCGGCAATACTTGGGAGCTTCTTCTGAGTTACCTAATATGGGTTACTCTTGGGGAGGGGATATAGGCTTAGTGTGGGAGATCTCTAATTTAGGCAACTAATTACACTATTTATTAACATTTTAACTTTCTAATGGAGAATACAGACTCTCACCTCATTTTGTTTAAATAGGGCATTGAAAACACTGCAATTAGATGCAGAATTGTAGAGCTCTGTATTTTACATACTATCATTTCCATCTGCAAGTGATGCTAACAAGATGGAAAGCAGAGCAGAACATCTTTGCTATTTGAGGTGGGCTCTGATTTTCAGATTTTTGTCTATTTTCTCTTATTTTACTTTACTTGGAGGAAACAGCCATTTTTTATGATTTGTTTTTATTGCTTGTATCTCACCATGTTGAAGTGGAGGTCATTAGAAAGCAACAAGGATACCAGTGTTGAATAAGGAAATTGTATCAATACAAAATCATTGGGATCTTGGAAAGGAGCCAAATAAGGTGCCCAAGAAAGTCAACACAAAAAAAGGGGCCAGCAGGAAAAGATGGTATAGTTAGGAAAGGCAGGAAGAAGAAGGAAATCTGGAAAAGTTCCTGGTTCTGTTGGTTATAGAAAGGGGCAAACAGGCGGGAGAGGTTTGAGCAGACTTGTCTACTCTGTGCCTGCCTTTCCCTCTCTCTTTCTCCAAGATGCTTCATCAATCATTGCTGCTGCTTGCCTTCTAGTTTCTTTTTACCACTGGACATTTGCCTTGGTTGCTGCCACTTGGAATGATTGCCAGGGCTAAATAGGCTGATATTTTTTACCCTCTGTGCTCCTGGAGGCACTCTAGCTACAAACCAAAAAAGAGCCCAATTTAGATTACTTGGAAAAAGTACTGTAAATTTATGCCATTTCTGAATATATTCTTGGTGTTTCACAGTTGACAACACAATATTCCCCGGAGTGCCAAACTCACAGAAACCCCATAGAACGATCGCTCTCTACTAGTAGTCTTTCTAGAGTCAGTCTGAGGTGTGAGACTAATCAGACAGGGGGCTCAGAAAATGTATTTTTAAAATAAACAGACTGGAGAGATGATGGCAGTTCTTTTAAGGCACAGAATAACTTTTACTTATCAGCTGCTTAACAGAGAACTGAATTGATGTACAAATTATTTCAGTTTGCTTTCCACTGACTATTAATGTTCTGATAATTTGAGAAAAAATAGTGAAGGTTTCTGTTTTCATTGAGAGATGAAAAGGGCCCAATAGCATTCTAGAACATTCTCATTTTGCAGACAAAGACTGAGGAAATGGAATGGCCACCTCATAATTACAGAGCAGTAGTGCTCCTAACATTCTGCCAAGGAGCATTACCTTAAGAAGTTAATATGAGCTTATAAATAAGGATTTTAATTTTCTTTCCTCCTGGCTTCCCCTTTTTTTGTAGCCCATTTTCAATGTCTTCAGTCACACAAAATAGTTTTATAATCCAACCAAAACACTTCTCTCCTCTCAAGCATATATTATCTTCAGGAAGATAACTATAACTTATACTGTCTTCTGCCATTGCCAAAAGCTACCGGAATATCTCTGCACTGAGCTCCATTTCTTTCACTGGTTTGTTGGAGTACAATGGTTTTGAGAGGCACTGATTTGCATTCTAATGATATATGATAGTTTCCAGTCCAGATTCAGAATATTTTTTTGAGTTGCAGGTTATTCAAGACAAATCTTATAAGTCTAAATGAAGTAGAGTTTACATATTTACTATTAATTTTCCTTTTTTATTTACTTCTCTATATAGCTTTTACAGTCCATGAAGAGAACACTTCAAATTAGCATGCTTAATTTATTCCTCTACTTTAAGAAAGATTTGAACTAAAAAAATAGAAGAACTTACTTAGAAGAGATGGCCAGCTCAGTCTATTTGGATTATACTGAGTGGAACTCCTATTTACCTCCGCCATAGGGTATAAACAGAGAAGGCGGACAACTCTCTAGTTACACTTGAGTGAGGGAAGTTATTTCTATGTTTCTAATTCTCCTGAGATCAACTTTCATTGTGTGGCTTTGTTACTAAAACACACAAACATGGGTTTCAATTGCTTGGGACTCTCAGGGATATTAGATCATCTGTATCTCTCCTCTCTGTTAACATGGAGAATGGACTGTACTGCAAAGCCACAGCAGCCTCTAGGAAAAAACATTATCTCTGTTTCCTTACCTGTAAATAGCTAATGTGTTATCCTCAGGGCCAATTACTTTTAATGATTTAATTACATTTATGGTTTTAAAGCACACCTTCCATCCAAACCATGCGCTCAGGAAATAACAATTAAAATATTTAATATTAAACACAGTGGGAGCTCTTGTTTCAGAATGTTTTTTGCAAAGTCTATAGCTATTTGAAGATACTTTTACCAGGTTGAAACTTGCAATCATGGAGATAGAGAAGCCTGCTGAGACTTCACACATGAACTGAGATCAAGTGTTAAACATTTTCCAGGGCCAAGTTTTTCTGTTTGGTGTGTGTGTGTTTGGTGTGTGTGTGGGGGGGGGGGGGCGCCCGAGTCCTTGGCTCTGAACATTCACATTTGACAATCCCAGTGAGGTTAAAGTGGTCTTACCTGGATTCCTGGGAATCCGCTTCCTGCGGTCTCTGAATGCTGCACCTGATTGTAGGGCTTCTAGAAGATTATCCATCACACCAGTCTCATCACCCTCTGGAGGGAAGGAGAAATCAGAATTAATCTTGTAGCAATTAAAGTTAAACTACAGGAAAATAAAGGAAAAAAACTCCTGTCAGATTTACATAATACCCCTAAATTAAAGACATATATCTGTTTTAACATAATGGATCCTGTCAGTTTCTGGCACCACTGCCTACTTTGCTTATTACGCACCATTAAGCAAAATTCATGCCAATCCCACTGTTCTTTCAACTTAAAGACCTTGTCTTTTGTATTATTGATGACACGCTCAGTATGCAAATAAACAGTAGCTGATCAGCTACTGCTGCTTCCTGTTAAGATTCTTATAAGATATTCCTAAGCAAGAAACCACTGACCCGGCTTAATGCAATCAATGCACAGGGTGTGATTTGATGAAGCGGAGTTACACAAGGTTAAATACTGATTGTATTAATACCTTCAGCATTCAACCATCATCTGCGATTATCTCCAAAGACACTATTTGCAAAAACACATTTGCATTCAATTCCTATCTAACCCACATCCCTTCCCCATTTCAAAATGCTGACATTGTTAAAGAAGAAAAAAAGGTGACCACATCATCTGAAAGGCCACATTTTACATTTGAGAAACATTAGCCAGACTCTACTCATCCCTTTTAGAATGCCGCTGTGTTTCTAAGCTTTTCCTAAGAGAAAGAACAGTTAAGAATCCACGGGTGAGTACTCAAAAAATGTTTCTGGAAATTCCTAATGGCAATGTATGTAGAACATTCCACCTTTGACAACGCTGGCCATCAAAAACACTTTAAGGTTTGTTAGAGCATTTGTCTCAAGGTGTCAATTGCCAGAAACTCTCTACTGCACTGTGGCTAATGCACAGGCAATGAAAAGGACCTAACAAGATAGTTAATGTATATGGCAGCTAAATGTGTGGGTTTGGGGTAGAGGGCACTGGTAGGAGGGTTAAGAGAAGCAAAAGTGAGGAATGAGCAGAAACCGGTTTGGCTCAGTGGATAGAGGGTTGGCCTGTGGACTGAAAGATCCCAGGTTCCATTCCGGTCAAGGGCATGTACCTTGGTTGTGGGCACATCCCCAGTAGGGGGTGTGCAAAAGGAAGCTGATCAATGTCTCTCTCTCATCAATGTTTCTAACTCTCTATCCCTCTCTTCCTCTCTGCAAAAATGCAATAAAAAATATATATTTTTAAAAGTGAGGAATGAGGAAAAAGAAATTGTTTCTAATGCTATTCACAAGTTAAATTTAAGTCCAACTTGTTTAAAGAATTGACTATGGGGTATCAGGTGACAGAAAGAAAATATTCTCTTATGGGGGAAGAACAAGCTAAAATATTTATGAGTATGCTGTTCCTCTAACCTGAGATGGTGTTAATGTTATGATCACTGGTTCTAAAATGAATTCTCTAATACAGGATATTGAATGAGAAACAAAAAGGGAAACAGAGGTCCTCTGGTATAATACATGGCGAAAATAGGAAAAATAAAAAGAAAGTAGAATACTAGTGATCAAAGAGGGAAAGGGGATTGTGTACTTTTTAGAAGGCTGCAGATATATTTGAACAAACCCCTGCTCTTTACAATAGAAAAAAAGAAAAAAAGAGGAACTGAAAGTATTTGGGTGTGACTGGAATGCATCTAGGAAAATTAAATTTTATGCAGGAGGCACTTGACCTTTGTTGTATCTTTTAATCTGCCCAACAACACTGTGCAATTGGTATTCTCTCTGTTTCTCAGCTGGGGATACTAAAACTTACAAACTTGTTTCAGATCACACTGACAGCATGTGGAAGGTCTAGGAATGAATCCAGATCAATCTGCCACCAAGACCAGCCCTGTTTGCATGACAGGCAGGAGATGAATGGACTAGGCCTATGGTGGTCAGATGATGAAACATCATAATCTTATGATCTAGTTTGGGCATTATTCTATAAACCAGCACTGTACAATAGTTATATAATGCATGCCATAAATGTGAGTCATGTAGATAGTTTTAATTTTTCTAGTAGCCATATTTTAAAAAAGCAAAAAAAAAAAAGCAGGTAAAATTAATTTGAATATGTTATGTAAATACTTAACTCAATATATACAATAATTACATATTTTACATCTATTTTCTCAGACTAAATATTGAAAATCTAATAGGTTTATTTCAGATTTACTGAAATAAATTTACAATTTACAATTTACCTCAGATTAGCTACATTTTAAGTGCTCAATAACTATATTGGCTCCTGACTACTGTATTAGGCAGTATAGCCATAAGTGATTGGAGGTGACTTGATCAGATATATGCTTTAGAAAGACTTGTCAGACAGCACTGTGGTGGAAGACAAGATGGCACAACAGGAGGCAGGAAGATGTTTAGGAGTATAAGCTAATTGTCTTAGTAGGAGAGAAAGGACTAAACGAAGGGGTCAGCAGAGTGAATGGAGAGAGTGGATATTATGAAGGTATTAATACTGTCAATAGGACCTAGCTGGGCTGCTGATGTCAAAGGGAAGGAAGGGATGGAAGCTAGATAACCAGGGATAAACAGGTTGAGAAAATGTGACAATTTTTTTGAGATTGTTTTTTAAGAAATAGCTCAGTAGAGATATCCAATAAAAGATAGAAAGATGAGCCTGGAACCCAGAAGTGAAGACTGAGTTGGAACTGAAAGATCTGAGGGCTTGTGGAAGACAGAGATTACCCTGAGACGTATGAGATGAGGAGGGGACACAGTATGCAATTCCTGAGGACCCCAGTCTATATTATAGAAGGCCTGTGGCCGTAATGCTGTAATGACCAGTCACCAGGAGGTTCACTGATGGGTCTCCCTGCACAGTGGGTCTGGAGTCTCGTGTGATTACACACTCAGGGCCTCTAGTTTTTGTTTTTTTGTTTTTTAAATATATTTTATTGTTTTTTTACCGAGAGGAAGAGAGAGGGATAGAGAGTTAGAAACATCGTTTAGAATCATTGATCAGTTGCCTCTTGCACACCCCCTACTGGGAATGTGCCTGCAACCAAAGGTACATGCCCTTGACCCGAATCGAACCTGGGACCCTTCAGGCTGATGCTCTATCCAATGAGCCAAATCGGTTTCGGCTGGGCCTCTAGTTTTTAATAGGAAGTCAGAAGAAGAACTGTAAAGAAGACATGGAAGGAATTTTTACAGTTATAGAAGCACAACCAAAAGAGAGCCACAGTACAACTGAATTGAATTGTCCTTATAAAAATAGTGATTATAAAGATCATGTAGAAAATGAATATATGTATACAAGTGAAAACAACAGAATACAAAACAGTATGCATTTATGATTTTACATAAATAATGCACAAAACTGAAAAAATTTATAACATAATGACATCATGGATACCATTTAAATAAAATTCTTTAATGCTATCATATTATATACAGATAAAATATGGAAAACAAGTATGACATAGAGAGAAATTTTAAAAAATTCTCTTGCTTAATTTAGTGGTTGCCATCTGACAACACTGATCAAAATATAATGTTTGACCATTGTTTCTGAACTTTTTTTTCATTATCATACCCCTTTCCCCATGGAACTATTTTAGACATCTTTTTCCTAATCTCCCATTATTAACATTTAATACATCACAGATATACTACATATCTGTTTATGTATTGTGGCTCTTTGGAGGACTACAAACCTTGTAATATCTAAGATTTTTCTCTGCCCACATCCCCAAGAAAAAATATTCACCCCCTTAGGGGTCTACTGTCCCTGCTGAGAAGGTATATGCTAAACTGTTGTTGTTGTTGTTTTTAAAGGCCAGGTCTTTGTGAACATCACTGATGTATTAAAATAAAGAAATGTAGGTTCCAGTCCACCATTACTTTTTCATTTGCTTCATGAGAACTTTCAAAGGAGCTGAGAGATTTTCATGAAGTGTCTGACACTAAAGAATGAAGGTTATATGATTATATCATAGAACTGATTTATATTTCAGTTAGTCTTCCTAAAACAAAATGGAAGCCAACACGATCATTTGAAAGACATTATCCTTCATTTTAAATAAATTTCAGGGAAATTTGGTATGTCATTGAATTGTGTAAGGTTGGCAGCTCACTTAGAATTTCCAAGTTCATAAAATCATTCATTCTACTTACATGTGGTTAGCAATAAGTAGCTGGAATTTTTGTTTGTTTTTAATTTTTTGGTCTATGTGATCAAACTGAGGAAATATATCTTTTAAGTGTGTTTCTTTTTTAAAGGGAAAATAGTTTTTACTTTTTGAGTTACATAGAAAAAATGTGCTTTCTTACAACTTACAATACCTATTTTACTGAGCAAAAGAATTATCACAGAGAAAATTGTTAATGCTTTTTTGCCACTAGAATGGTAACATATAGGCATGTCTGAGAAGTAGCAATTCAGAGATAACTTTCTAATCTTTCCTCATGAAACAAGATCACAGACAGTATTAAGGAGCTGAGTAGGTAGTACGAAGGCCTGTGGGCTCTGTGTGAGCTACGTATCTTTGGGTAAAATGAAAGGTATGGATTTTACCTTGTATTTCATGTTTCCAACAATGTTGGTCATTCAGTGGGTTCTGAATGCTTGCTGATCTCAGTTTTCAGCATCAACATTTACCTCTATTGTATTGACTTAATTTCCTCAGGAGAGTTTGGAGATGCTACTGATTGAAATTAGCACTAGGTGAATTAATGATCACTGTTTTACTCTGTATAAGGCTATTCCCCAATGGCTAGCACAAATTTATTTAGTGGCCATTCTCTATGGGTTTCTCAATTTCTGCAGATTTTGTTAGTACAGGAGTTGATGGCCTTCGTTTGAAACTATATTTTTAAGGATGTTTTTTATAGTGTACAGCCTTGAAAGACATAATGTCTCCCTCCAGAGCAGAGGGCAGGTTTGTTTGATTTCAAAACATTATATTTCCCTGTAGGGCAGATGTCAGGCAGGTTTTCTTTTAGTCCATTATAAAATACTGGGTTCTCTATGCCTGGCTTCCTCAGCTGTGACACAAAACAACTGTGTGC